TCTAGAACGCTCAAAAGAGAGAAAGAGACGCAGTGACGAAGGCTATATACACACGTACACCTACCTTCCTAACAAACGCCCATTTTCAGACAATGAATATTTTAGTGCATCCATGAAAGCCCGCTCAAGCCCGTTTTTTTTGTGCTCGGCTGCTCTCGGCACAAAGGGCGTCATCGTCGCGCCTTGCATGCCTGTATGTGTATATGTGTATATATGCACTCTGATGCTCCTTGACCATTCAAGGAATACCGTCGTAACTAGATCAAGTAACGCTATTCTCCACACGCACCAGAATGTCCTTTGTCTTTCTTATTAAAGGGGTTCACACTACCCTTGCAACGTCATAGACTTACAATTTTTTTTGGACGAAGGGGAAGAAAAACCCCTATGTCAAGATGACTTAAAAGAATTTTTCTTTATATTAATAATAATAAGTTATTTGTAATTGTTTAAAAATCGGAACAGTTTTGATATTTAGAAACAGAAAACATAAAGATTAAAATTATTGAATTAATAACAAATTTTTTGTAACGTAAATGATATCAATCAATATCATAAAATTGATAATACAGATAGCGGTACTAATAAATTCTACATTTTTATCAACAAATGGTTTAAATAAAATTAGTATTTCACTGTGAGTCTGCATTATCAGAGTATGGTAGATGTTCAAAATAAATAAAAATTACAAACATTTTATACAATGCAATATTGTCAAATCTTATATTAAACTATCTCATATTAATTAAACTACTTATTATAATATTTAATTTGTTAATTAATTATCTCGTCGATTTAATCAGGTCACAAAATTCTTATTTATCTTTTGTAGATAAGTTGAATATTATTCTAAAGTATTTTTTTATAATTGGTTAATAAAAGTTGTTTAGTCGTATCAATTTTATTTAATTACGTTTAAAAAATTTTTTATATTGTGACATTTTTTTTATATAAATAATCTATTATAAATCTAAAATTAATTATAATTAAGCATACAATGTATGCATTTGCATTACACAATAAATAACAATTTTACTAAAAACGTATACTAGAAATTATTTATTTATTTAAAACTTAAATTTAATATTATTTATCGCTTACAGCTCATAAATTCTCGTAACTACATTTACTTACATTTGCTTTGGAAATATGTGTGACAATACTTCTGCAATTCATTGCAATAATTTATACATAATGAAATAGTATATCACATTCCGTTTATATTTAGAATAGAATTTTCCAGTGAATTGTTATTTCCGCCGAGCTTATAACTTTGCCTCGAAGGGCAGCGATAAATAAGAAAAGAGCCGCAACTTCTACCCAAGAGAAAAAAATTGAAGTACTATCGTATCGAATGAATATTGCAGCAAGCGCGCTTTCTGAGTAAAAACGATAGTTCAGAGGCGAAGGATAAAAATCGGCGGCGAAGCGACCATTGTCCAGCTGTCCAGTAATAGAAGACCCTCTTTTGGCTCGAGCTAATAATACTGAATTGACAGGGAGTTTTGGCGATTATGTTTCACGGCGATACTTTCCACGCGCGCTTGCCTTTTATATTACGAACAGTCGAAAAACTCAACTTTTTACCAAATTTTTTTTGCGACCGGCTGCTCGCGACTGACATCTGCCCGTCGAGGTGCATCGGTTATCGAGCACGTGGCGATCGTCCGATAAAATGCAAAATAGCCCCAAAGCATTATCAGATTGTGATGACAACAAAGTATAAAATCGAATTTGACATCAAAGTGAATTATATAACTTCGAAAAACCAAAGAAAATAAATATATATATATATATATATATATAAATAAAAATAAGATCTAGATTTTAAATAAATAAATGTTAACATGGTCTGCAACACTTGCGCGTCATGTTTGGAAAGTTTTTCACTTATCAGTACTATGATTTTTTCGGAGCCATTGTAAGTGGTATGTAATGTCATATGTGTAGATTATCTAGAATAGAATTAATAGAAATTTTCTTTAGATAAGAAAAATAAAAATTATATATAGGATTAGAAAAATTTAAAGCACCGATAGAATCACATAATTGAATATTGTATTGATAATAAATATAAATTACGAACTATATAAATTTTAAAATATATCAAATATTGAAAAATATGGAAAAATTGAAGTTATTACATCTAAAAATTTTTAATTTATTAAAATTTAAATATTAATATATAAATTATTAATTTAATAATTTAATTTTATAATTTTTTTTAGATGTAAAGTTCTAAAATTATCAGATATAAAGCTTGCTAGTATTTGCATTCTTGTCGTATTACATTTCAAGAAGCAAAAGAGCCCTTATTGTCTGAACAACCGCTTATTCCGCAATCATCTGTGTGACGCATGGTCATGCGACATGGTTACTCGTCTACTTTTTTACCGCACGATTCGTTCATCCAAAGGGGCAGAAAGCAAAAACTGTGAAAGGGAAGTTTAGCTCGCACGTATGGAAAGGAAAGTATTCTTGCTCATGTATTCCTACCAATCTTCATAAAAGGGAATTCTTAGCTTGTTACTAATAGTACATACAATCTATCTTAGAACAAAATTAATTATTTATTAAAGCACAATCATAATAAAATTTATCCAAAATTAATTAAACATTATATATATATATATATATATATAAAGACCGTAGTGAATACTTTACATTATTTAATTTCCAAATTCAAATATTTTAATTAAAATTAAAAGATAATATTTTAATAAATAAATTTAATTATAAATATCGACATAAATAAAATTTTATCGTGTGTTTTTAGAAAGGTCGTGCAATAATTTTCAATGATTAGTTCTATTGTGCTTAAAGGAGCAACGATGCTTGATGGGAATTCATACACCGGTATAGGTTGCGGCGGATTATCAATTCGAATATCTCATGAAAATTATCGGGCTAGGGTCCGGTAGCGGTCGTCATGTAATGCCATTAATTTGCAGGAACCGATGCAGACCACCGGCTTCATTATCGTTATCAATACTGTATAGAATCGCGTGACAAGTGCCTGACCGCAGATGCGGAACGCCCTCGGTACGCATGAACGTTTTTACCCAACCGCCTCAATTTGTCTTTTAAATTATGCATAATCTCCCTGAGCATAGCGGTTTTTGATCCGCATCAAATAAAAGTATCAGCCTTATTTTTTTATTCTTTATAATTATGTCGCTACTTTTATTCATTTTTTTTTTACAATTATTAGATGCTTGCTACACTTTACAAGTACAATATTGTTCAAATAAAAAAATTTAATTTTAAAATTTATTTTTTCCTATAATTCCAATACTTTAACATGTTTATTATTATGTTTTATTATTTTCATGTTTGTAATTATATTTGATAAAAATGCAATTATATATCAGTTATAATATAATTAATGAACAAACTTGAGAGAATTTAAAGTCCTTAATAATCGATGCGAAGTGGCTCGTTACAGACAAAGAGTAGCTTTTTCTTATAAACTTGGGCGTTTTAAGAAAAAGTCTGCGTATCGTTTGTGAAATAACCGAAGAAGGTCTGGAGAAGAAGCTCGAGCTAGCTCAAACTTGTCCGTGAGGCTAAACTAATTTGCCGCGCGAGGGTGGACGATTGAGGCTTCTAGGTGGGGTGACACAGGATCAGAACCATGATCCAGCGAGGAACGGGGAAAGGGGAGCAGGGTAGAAAGGGGGTTCTAATACCACGGTAGTGGGGCACCAAATTCCAAGTGACCAGTAAAAGTGCCACCCCACGCGGATCTCACTTCTCTCTTCTCTTTCATCTCATTTCTCTGCCTTTCTCTTCTCTTCCTCACTGCCCCTCTACCCCACAGATCCCCTTTCCCTTTCGCTTTGACACCCCCGCCCTTCCGACCCCTCAAAAGACCTTAGTGCTACCCGAGGGGAACTGTGAACTGGGGTAAAAGACTTGCTCGTGCTGGGTCGCGAAGAGGACGTTCGTATTTTACGAGCGTATTCGTGTATATGTGAGCGTGTGTGTGTTTTTTTTCCAGCGCACGTGTGTGCAGGTGCGTAACTTCGGAACAGGAGGAAGTGCCTTGACGAAGGAGCTTTGCGACAGTGATGGCTAGGTCTTCATTCTAGCCCCGAAGCTTTTAAAGAAGAGATTTCTTATATAACGATGTTTGCCATTTCAGGAAATGCATTACATAAATAAGAATAGAGCACAAAACCAGAGTGCACATTTTTATCTTCTTCTTCAAGTATAAAGTATTCTATGCGTTACACAGCTAACTTTTCATTAATTTTGATATAATTTTATTGCGACTATTTTTAAAGTTTAAAATTTTTAGCAAAAATAATTTTAAAAAATAACGTTTCTTTATTTCAAACTGCTTAGAACTTACTTGAAACTTTCTTTACTTGTTAAATAAATATTGTTTTCAAATTTTCAATTCTACCTTTTATCATTCTTCTTAAAATTTCTTATTAAAATTATTTTACGTGGCTTTTTGCAATGGAAAACACTCATATTATTTAACAGCAAATATAAATCCTAAATGAAAAAAAAAACTTGAGAAACCAAAAAGCGGAAAAAGAGTGATCCCCTTTGCTTTGTAGAAAGGCGTCGGTCCTGACTTTGAAAGGACGTGGGGGTGGCAGGCTAGCAGGCAGGCAGGGGGGTAACTCTGTGAGGGAGGGACATCGAATCGTGGAACGCGGAGACGGGAGTGCGGCGGCCGTGGCGGACTGGAGGGTTGAATCAGCGCGGGGGTGTATGGGGGAATTAGTGGATGGTCGCGGACAATGTGGGGGATACTTTCTCATATCAAGTATGGCCGCCATCGTGGCACGATGGTCAAAACAATAGTAAGTAGCCGAGGCCGCGGGCGATCCTTCTTCCACCCCGTATCGTCGCGCGCCGCCATGATATATTTTTCTTTTTCTTTTTTCTATTTCGCTCCTTAATTATCGCCTCGCCATCGATAGCGCGCGATCTGCCATTATTCCAACCCTTCTCCTCTCGGCTTTCCAGTGCGCAGTGAACAAAGTGGTGTTATCGTCGCGTTATCGCCGGCACGCACGTCCAGCCTCCTCGTCGATGCTTAACAAATGGATAATATCGAGGGATGATCGACAAATCGCGATTCTCTGGGGTGGTTTTGCGTCCACAAGTCAGACTACTGATTACGGTGAGTGTAATTTTTTGTCACGGTCAAAAACTATCGACGATTAGGCATGTCCTGCCAATCAAAACCATCTATAATTAGCTGTGTCGCGGTGCCACGTCTATAACTTCTGCTAAAGATTAAAGCCGGTATAATTTCAATAAATTAAACGCATATATATGGTAAAATAACCATTATTGTTAAGATAATTAACAAAAGAAATATTAAAATAACTTTCTTTGTAATATCAAAACGTTTAAATCAAATTATATCAATTTTAATTTTTTTTATATATTGACAACTATATAGTTTAAATGGATAGATTTGAAAATAAAATGTTTATCAATATAAGATCTAAATCTTATTGATATTGATACAAGAAGAAAATGTGGATTAATAATTTTATCTGTAAATTTCTCCTAGAAATATTTAACAATCAAATGATAGACTTCTCTATCACATGATAATCTCTTCACAAATAAAAAATTTTTATATTAAATATTAATCATCTAGAATTATTACAAGGAAAACGACACGATAAACCAAGGTGACACGATAAACACAAGTTGATACGATAAAATTTCTCTTTACACGAACTGTCGAAACAATTTTTTTTATTGACCCGATTAATAAGTATGTGTTATTGATAGATTACGAAACTCGATGTCCCAAACCGCCGTATTCTTTGGTTGCAACAAATACGATCCACCAAATACACGAAACGATACTACACCGCTCCCCTTTCGAGGTGGACTAAGAGTACCGGCCGGGTACTCTCTTGCCGCGACGTCTTTTGCATGCGAATACTCCACGTGGTTCATCCGGCGACACGCATTGCGCAGATCCAACCTTCCCCACCTTTATGCGAATCACACCTTTTACCATACTATTACAGATTCATGCGCGAACTGCCGCTGATTTAATTGTCTGCTACGTTTAATGCTTCGATACACTAAGTGGTTTAAAACAATTTGATATAATTTGATATAATTTTCTTTTAAATACTTTGATTTATGAAAAATACCTTTCAAAAAACTGTATGTTCTCGTCTACATTTCTCAGATTTATATTTTAGATATAACAGTTGTAATATAAAATTGATAAATTTTAATAACACATTTATTTTTCAGCAATGTTGTCTTTTCTGTTCCTACATTACATTCCTGCATATTTTCTCAGTAACAAAATAAGAAAGCAATATTTTAAACAGTATTTTAAGCAACTTTCAGCAACAATGTAAAATGTTGCATTTAATTTTCTTCAAAAAAGTCACCATAATTCAATTAAAACTGTTAGATTTAATTAATTAATTTTTGACCCTAGAATAAAATATATGTATATCTATTTTATTTGTATATGTATATCTATTTTTTTTCCGTAAAAAAAGTATTTTTTACTTGTTTAAAAAATTACAAAGAATAGTTTTCCGCAAACATTATATTTAGTGACATAAAATCTTTTATGTCGCTGTAATCGCTAACAAACGACATTTCAGTGAAAGTTAGGAGACAAAGTCGATCCGTTTGAGGTTCGAGAAACCGGCGGACGGACGAATGTTTCAGGGCGAAAGAAGGGAGCGCGGGAGGATAGGCGGGTAGATTTTCAGGACTGGCGCAATGTTTGTCTTGTTTACGGGAAGACTTATGCGCGTGTGCGGACTGCCGAAGTTCGCTGCTCGATCAATAGGCCTCTACTGAAATCACACGTAAACGGGACCCGCATGTATCCGCACACGCCCACGCGGCACGCGCATACACGCGTACACGTATTCGCATACGCACATGCCTGCTTCAGCACGCGCGCTGAAACACCGGACCAATCCACGCGAAAAGTTCACGCGAGCTTTTCTTTCGACTTTTTGCGAAAAAAAGCTACGAGACTTTCATATTTCACTTTCCGTATCCGCTATTGATTCTGTCCCCTCCACCCCTCTTCTTTCTCTCCCTCTGTCTTTCCTCCCCCTCGTTCTCCTCTCTTTTCTCTCTCTCTCTCTCTTTTTCTCCCCCCCCTCTCTGGGCCTGTTTGATGTGTTTGGGCCTGTTTGATTAGATTTTTCTTGCTCCTTTATCAATCGATTGATTTGCCATCTCTCATATTACTTTCATCAACTTGCTTTCTTTTTTATACTTGTTTTAATCAACTTTTTACAATAATATAAATGGTTTTTAACTATTAACATAATGTTTGTGTTTACAGTTATTAAATTTTGCAGTTTGAAAGTAGAGCAATTAATGCTAATTTGTAATATACAGTGGCAATTTTATATTTTGTGCAAATATATGATATTCTCAGTTACATTCAAGCGTAAACTGTTTGACATCATAAAGTATGGTTGACATTTTAACAGCTTCTGTCAGACATTTTTAATCGCGTAACATTTTTATTCTAATGCAACGCTCGCCCAAACTCTATTAAGTTACTACTGACTACGAATGACTTCACATTTTGTGTTTACTAAAATTATCAAATTGCATTACGATTTGATTTTTATTGCATCAAATTGTATGACAGCAAGAGCAGCTGCGAAAATACTGTCTATATGTATTCGTGCATTATTTTGTAGGAAGGCGACGTCTCACACATCTCCACATCACCCGCACAAATTGAGAGAAATCTGACGACTGCAGTGCGCATAATAATATTAGAATTTTCTAGATAGACATCTTTCTCGTTTTACCCCAGTGCTCTTTGCTTCTCTAACGACATGTTTTTCCCGACACCCTTTCGCGAACGGCAAACTACTCCGTCGGGTCGGATCACTACCCCTCCCTATCAATTCATCAAATTTCGGCAGTGAATTTCCACAATGTCAGAACCCTCCCCGCGCCAACATACGGGCGTATTTACGCGTATTTTTGGAAAATCTGCCAAACGTTGCGCAGAAATATATGGATTTCGCGTATTCCCGATCTCCACCGTCCACCGTCTCTATCTCTTTCCATGCGTCAATATGATTGCTGTACAACCCTCCCTCTCTTCTACCTTCCCCGTAATCCAATCTTTATTCTGTCGACACACGCATATACACCAACTGCAAATAATAACCGCTGTTCTTTTTAGATTTTAGATAAAAACTAAATTTAGCAAAAAACAATTTGCGGAACGATTGTTACGTAGATTCAAGATATTGTTCTATTTTAAATAGTTAAGTTATTTTTTTTTATAAAAAATGCACTCCGTTTTAAATTTATTGTTAGTAAAACTGAAAAACATCTAGCTTGACATATTAATATGTAGGACATACATTTATGTATAATTAAAATTCAATTATAATAAAATTTTAAAATAAAATACGACAAAATATAATTTTTCTGAATGTAATAAATTAAAAAATTTGTTTATAAATATAATTTATATAAATTTAAAATGAGATTAGAAACGAATTCTAATCGTATCTAAAAAAATCTAGGCAGCAATTAATTTTATTGCCAAATTTACAATTATTTTATAACTAAAATAGATAATATATAAAAATGTACTTAACAATAAAAAATATTTAAAAAAGTATATACAATTTAAAGTTTTATAAAAATTCCGCATTATTCTACTTTAATAATTGTCCCAGCTGCCAAAAAATCACGTGCTCAAATCACCAATCAAAACAACAAAGAATGTATCAACGGTTTATTAACAACGCATGTATCACTTGGCATCAATAAACAATTTTTCTAGCGTGCAGGTTTGTAATACGATACAGCTGATAAGAACGGAAACGGAAGGAACACACTTCTACTCACGTATCTCTGCGTCATCGAAAAAACATCTCGGTTTCAATAGACTTTGACTAAGAGCCGAAAGAATGCGATCATTGATGACTTTATCTCATTGTCACTAGCGGATCAAGATAAAAAACTTTTTTATAAATATCTTATAGCGATAAATGATACGTAGAACGTACTATAACATAGTTATATATTATGATTAGTACAAATGATTGCCATAATATAAAAATGTGTATTTTATCTTACATATATCGAGAAGTGTTATGACGTCTATTGCTAGAAGAATTTTATCTTAATGTTAAATTATCTTCAATGTATACAATATCTTTTTCTTTGATTCATATCTTTTTATAAATGTAAATTTAATTAATGTATATACATAGATACACATAACACAAAATCTTGTAAATTTTGTAAAAAATTTAAGAGATATGAAAAATATCTTTGAATCTAGATTTAAATGTAATAAATATATATATTGTTGAACATTGCATTATACAATGTTTTATCTCGTTACATTATTGCAAAATGAAAACTATACAAGATTGAATAATATTTATCACTTGACATTCTTGGACGCTCGCAAAAGCGTTATTTTTATATGAAGCTTCTTGATAGCAGCGTATCGCGCTTAGATAAATTCAGAAATCATCTATCCACAAAATGCAAGCAGAACCCAACGCCGGGAGGTGGGGAGATTTGTATCGGTCTCCGAAGGTGGTAGGGACGCGAAAACAGCATAACAGGCCTTTCATAGGGCACCGTGTTTATACCTAACAGTAACCTGGCAGAATTCGGAGAGACGTATACTGCCGGGAGCACGCGAATATTAAATCACTCGGTTAATTTACACTTTTAACGCTCACGCGTTTAACACGCTTTTATCTTTATTTTTTCCGATTTCTGACAGTTTGCTCGCTAGCCTATTTCTTAATTTATTTTATTCACATTTTATTTTACTATTTATTCCATTTCCACAAATATTACATTTTTATGAATCTTATCGATCCAATGATATTAAATAAAGAATTCTCAAGCTGTTGAGATGTCAATCTTTTTGCAAAAAGGAAAGCTCATGAACAATGCGAAAATGGAAATAATCTCAACGATGAGAGTGCGCTGGACCAGTGACATTTAAAGTTCATGCAGTTCATTTATCTTCGACGACACGATGTGCCAGTAACCGCGTCTTCGGCTAGAAGATGAAACGATTGTTCTGTCGCAGATTGCGCGCTGTTTTAAATTTGCAGAGTGTCGCAAAGGTTTACAATCAAGATGCGTGACAAGACTACTTGTGACTCGTGGCAGCGCAATTTTCGAGATATCTTGTTTTAATATGAGTACGACATGAGAATCTACACAATACATCGGTCATGAAACGAAGACGTTTGAAAGATCAAGGAACTGTATTTCTCGCGGGTGAGAACTTTATAAAATATATATAATTTTGACACTTTATGTGTGTGACAGAATCATGTTTAAATGATTTCGTAAATAAATACACGTGCATCATAAGTACCTAAAAATAAAAAGAATATTTATCTCAAAGACATAATTAATATAACTTAATAGAATTAATACAATTATATTAAAATTAATATATAAAATATAAATAAATACTATATCAATATAAATATAATAGATTAATTAATTTAATTTAATTATTAAACTCTATTATATTTATATAAATAATTAATAAACTTTTATAATCAATTATTTAGCGAAGTCTTTCATTATAAGAGAAAATCGATGAACTTCTGCGTCGATAATGTTTCTTTTTTGCAACATTAATAATTGAGATAAAAGAGAATAACTATAAGAATCATTGTACTGAAATGTTTTTGAACTTGTGCACGCACGGCTCACGCGATCTTTCTCACGCGTGCATCACGCACAGCTGGACGCATCAGTAGAAATCGTCGAAGAGTTCGTTGACTGGGCACCGTCCACTTACATTCGCGATACGAGGCTGTCATTCTGAATTAGTAATTACACCGCGCTTCTGAAATGCATATTCGTACAATTCCTCCGAATTCCCCGAATACGTGGGGTGGACGTATAATATGAGTCATGGGGGGATTGCCCACTCTCTCCTCCCTCGATATCCCGCATTTCCCTTTTTCGAGACCGCATGTCCATCGCGCGCGAGAGAGGGTGTCTCGTTCGCTATGTCTCGTTCGTCAAGTTTCGCGTGCGTCTTCCTACAGCACGAAGTGCTCGTTAGCCGACCCCAACCCTCCAATCCCTCAGCTCCGTCAAAATCATTATGATCTCCCTGCCGAATTAATGTCGCCTTCCATGAATATTCGCGAGCTTTCATGTCTCGCGAGCTAGTGTGATTGCCATATTCGAAACTTGTATTTATATTAAATTTACTTTCTTGATTAAATTTCACATTAAATATAAATTAAATTGAATTGAATATGATTGAATGTGTAAATGTAATCAGTTGCGCGAATTTCATCAATTATCTATAGCGTTTCGAAAAAAGTAAAATTAAATTTCACAAAGAAAACTGCTATCCGGATTTTCTTTTTACAAAAATTTCAATAATACTGCTTTCAGCATTTTAAACGCGAGAAATTTGTTTCTTGTCAGACGGACAACATCTGAAAAAGAGCGAATTGGTCGTGTGAGATCCATTGAGATGTCGTCAAGTGTGACATCGTCACACGAGCCGACGACGACGACGACGATGGAGCCGGCGGAGCTGGACAGCGACGGTTCGAGCTGCGGCGAGCGCGACGTCTGGAAACGCGTTCGGGGCGACTCCGTCGATGGAGGCGTCGGGCCGAAAAAACGTCGGAAGCAGACCACACCGGTAAGATTCTCGTCCAGCCTGACGACGGGTATGCAAGAAGACGCGCACGAGAACGAGCGCGAGGATGAGGATAGCGAAGGTAAGCCGTTGTCGCGATCACCGTTGCCGAGCAACGACCACCATCACCACCAACACCACTACCATCATCCGCCGTCGTCGAAAGACGAGAATCTGAACAACGAGTTTCGTTGCCAGCACTGCGGCCGGCTCTTCGACAGCAGCGAGACGCTCAGCGTGCACGTAGACGACGAGCACGGTGGCGCGAGTCAAGCGACATCGAGCGTCGCTGTCAAGATAGAGCCGGAGCAGCAGCTGGACCGAATTAACGATGGTCCCGTTAGCCTTCTCAGCGTAAAAGATTTCGCGACTACGTGGCTGGCGTCCGGCAGCCAGCAGCACGTGCAATCGCAGACGCAGATGCAGTCGCAGAGCAAGGAATCGTGGTCGGGCGGGCCGGTCAATCAGATCGTCACGATGACCAATCACTTGCAAACGCTGTCGGGCTTTTCGGGCACCCTCGCGCAATACTTACCCTTACCGAGTTTTCCTCTAGCAGACCCCCAGCACGTTTCCAGATCCCCCCTCGGCCCAGTGCCGATCAAAATTTTCAATCCGGACGCGTATTGCGACATGTGCAACAAGGAGTTCTGCAACAAGTATTTTTTGAAGACGCACAAAGCCAACAAGCATGGGATCTATGTGGACTCGCCGGCGCCGAACGCAGCCACAGACGTCGCCAATGTGTCTGGCGCCAACATGTTTGCCGCAAATTTTCACACGAGCAACACAAGTGTGAAACTGGAGCCGTCGGCGACGCCGCCACAGAAGCGTTTCCGCAGCGACGAGTCTGTAGTAATTAAGAAGCAGAAGCAGAAGATACACAACGAATCGTCGATGGATCAGCCGTCGGACAGCCAGCAGATCTCTCTATCGCAAAACGAGGAGGACCGAGCAACGCCACGTGACAGTCCCGGCGGCATGGAGGCGCTTATGAAGCAGGAATACGGCGTCGAGCAAGAGGACGCGACTTTCATGCCGGCGCCTAGACACCTCTCGCCGCAATCCATCCAGCAAGCACGCGATTCCGGTTTTAGCGCCGATCTCCTGCGCCGCCTGGGTGTCATAAATCCCGATGCGTTTTGCGAGATCTGCTGCAAAGAATATTGCAATAAATATTTCTTGCGCACGCACAAAATCAAGCGGCACGGTGTTGTCGTGCAGGACAGCCCGGCAAGATCGCCGCCCGGCAATCCCGGCGCGGCCACCGTCGCCATTTGGCACCAGGTGCAGACTAGTCCGTTAAATCTAATCGTGACGGAGACCAGCACCGCGGGTTCCGAATCCAATGATCGCACCGGCGAGGATCACGAGTGCAAGCCCTGCGGCATCCGCTTTCAAACAATCGGTTTGCATCAGGCGCATTGCAAGAGGATGCACGAGGCCGAAGAGCAAACCTCACCGAAGCAGGAATACGATTTGGATAATTCTGATCGCAACGAGCGCACCGACTCGATCTCCGAGGACCTTCAAAAATTGCAAACGATGATCATGCAATTGAACGGCTTGGATTCGAATAAAGGACTAATCTGCGCCGTCTGCGGTAAAGAGAATGACTCACGGTTGGCTCTGCGCGTTCACATGGCGACCGAACATGGCGTTGCCAGCGACGAAACTTCATCATCGCCGCAGGAGAAATCACCCACGGCCATTACAACTATTTTCTGTACTCTGTGTGAAAAAGATTATCCTAACCAGGAGGCTCTAAGGAAACACATTAGCGAGGAACATCAACCGGTTGTGTCTACCAGCACCATCACTTTACCGGCACTTCCGCCGACGGTGATCGCTTCTTCCGCTAATTCGACGCCGACATCAAGTCAGACTTCAAGCAGTCAGACAACGCCCACGACGGAAAGAAAGGTGACGTCACTGACACCCACGTCGAGCTACTGCGAGATTTGCAACAAGGAGCTGTGCAACAAGTATTTCATGAAGACGCACATGCAGCGCATGCACGGTATCGAGATCGAGAACGGCGCGCAGATCGGAGGCGTCATTTGCAACATCTGCAACAAGGAGCTGTGCAGCAAGTACTTCCTGCGTGTTCACAAGCACAACACCCACGGGATCATCGACGAGAACACATCGGGATCGGCGACGTCGAGCAAGCAGGAAACTTACGACGCCTCCGGCGCGGAGGACGCAACGCTGAAACCAGAACTTGCCGATCTCAATCACAGATATTTCACCGAGGTGTGTCCGATTTGCAGCCGTAGATTCCGCAGCACCAAGTCGCTGAAGATGCATTTAATGAGCGACCACGACAAAGTGGGAGTCGACAAATGTCGTGAATTGGAGCAGCAATGTCAAACGACCTCGAAAACCGGCGGTAGAAGCGTCACCTCGGCCAAAAACATTCAGCAAGCGTCGAATCTGAAAATTCCCAATGGTTTCGAGGTTGCTCAGCAGGTAAAATCCACCGATTACGTGAACTTGGGCAACCAGGTGCTGTCGAATCTTCTCGGCACCTCGACCGAGGAGCATCAAGTGAAGAATTATCGCTGCGCTTATTGCAACTTTGTGACTCCCGCGCTACCGCTTCTCTTTCTTCACGAGCGATCCCATATGACCCCTCAAGAGAATCTCGAATACGACCGGACGTTGCAATGCCCGATCTGCTCGCAGGACTTCCATCAGCCGGAGCTGCTGCATCAGCATCTGGTGGCCAAACATCAATTTCCTACTTTATTATCGCAGTTCCAACATCCTCTTCTAAACAATTTCCGATCAGATATTGAGGTCAAAGTAAGCGATATCAAGGATAGGGCCGATCAGAATGCGAAGGAGGACCGAGTAGGCTGTAGTCCGCAAGCCGATCGGAGCGTCACCGAGGCCGCGAAAAATCAACGTCAGGACGAAACCGCGGTGCAGGTGACTTCTCAGGGCGCGTACAAGTGCGCTCAGTGCGGCTACGCGACCACGAACTTGAATCGAATTAAGAAACACATGCGGAAAGATCACAAGGCGATCGGCGATCCCGCGGAGAGCGTCATCACCGAGCTAAGCAGGACCTTGAAAGACGTGGCGAATAAGCAGAAGGTCCCGGCTTGCTACGCGATGCCGCAGGACATGAATTCGAATCCGGATAAAACCATCATGCAGCCTTTCCTGATTGAGGAGCAGGACTTAATGCAGGCCGGCGCCGAATCCAGCTCGACGAAAAGATTTGCGCCGGCTTTAGTCTATCTGCCGGTCAATTCCAGAATCAACAACACCCTGACCGCTTCCTTCACTCTCACTCCTGCCTGAGCTTAGTTGACATTTCAATCTGTATGTTGAAAGAATGCGAACGGCAGCGTCTGCATCTGCGATCCAAGCACGTGGTATCGGTTCCTATTTATCATGTAAGATGACTAGCCGGCAATTTTTGCGTATTTTTGGCGAATTCTACAGTTTTTGCTTTCCTATTATCGATTAAGTGAGCTCCCTAGTTCGATGTTGAAAAAAAAAAAAAATAGTCAAATAACATCGTCAAATAAGATTGCTCTGCTTCTTTGGAGAGTTTTGCATCGCGAAAAGAACTTTAGAATTATTCAATGTTTGAGAAAATATTCACTAAGCAACGAATATTAACGTAAAAATTCCGAAGTATTTTGAATTATTTTCTCAGACATTGATCAGCTCTAAAGCTTTTCTTTTTTGCTGTGCAATGATTGTAAGAAAATAATAATTTCATCCGACGATATTTCGTTTCAAAAAGTTCGTCGCCGCAACGCAAGATTGATCGTCGTTTCGTAACATGATCAACTTGTAAACTCGAAATACGGGAAGATCGTCCACAAGCAACGACGAGTAGAATTCCCTTCCTCGCAATTTTACTTCTCAATGATTCTCAAGAGCGATAAATTTAGCAAGGGTTTGAAAAGAAAAGATCTCTCAGAAGAATAACGAGACGAGATTGTTATTATTGTTCTAATAAGGAACATACTCGTTATATACTCTTGTACATACTTAATTATAACTAACATAAACGGGTGATCGACAAAAAGTTCCTATTTTAAATATAATAGGCCTCCTTATATCGGAGTGTTTTTACTTTAATTCTTTTTGCTCCATAATTTATTTTGTTTTTCTTTCTCTTTGTCTTCTCTCTCTTCTCTCTCTCTCTCTCTCTCTCTCTCTCTCTCTCTCTCTCTTGTTTTAGTCTGAGTTGCTTTGCTCAAGTCAACCAAAAAATTGCGCATAAAATCGAGCATAATCGTTCGATAAACGCTAATCAACATATTGTCTTTTATTGAATTTTTTTTGCGACTGTTCTAGTCAATATTTTATATATAAATATATATATTTACGTAAGTAAGCAGAGTTTTCAAAGATAGGAAAGATTTAGAGAGGTATTTATCATATACACACATAGAATACGCTAGATTCCGAGAAATTGACGGAGGAATTAAGCGCGGTCGCTAATGATCGTCGCGACGGCCGAGAGGGCGAGAGCACGATCTGCTACTATGGTTACGGAGCATTGGATATCAACGCGCAGAAAAAAAATCGCCAACTAACTCAGGGGTGGACACAGTATAACCCGCAACAAAAAGTACAATCGTATACACAGCCAACGCATTACATAGACTTTAAATAATTTTTAAATATAATTACGATATAGCGCGTCTCGTAAATGTTTCGCGGATATCAATATAATCGAATCCTCTCCGTCTTAGGTGGGAATCGTAAAACGACCAAGCTCGATCTACTCGAATATTTGACGAAACGGCCCCCGATTTATATACATATATATGATCTACATATTAAAAAACTATATAGCACACTCGGATTATTTAACTAAGAATTGCATAGTTTAGTCGGTATATATAAAAAAAAAAAATCGCGGATGTGAAGTCTGAGCTAAAAGTTCCTCCCTGAAAACTGTTTCAAACCTCGTGCCTTTGCAGCTTGAAAAAACGCATAATCCCTAAACTTCCTCGTTATCATCTAAACCTCGATAAAATATCCGATATAACGAACTCATGTGTTACGATTATGATAAATGTGATTTTTGTCAGATCTGCTCTCTCGATCGCGTCGTATAATGGTCAACCTCTTTCTTTATAATGATACAATTATGAAACCTTTCATAAAGATAATTGAAAAATGACTGAAGTATTGTTTCTCAGAAACGTCTTGTAAATATTCAACTCGGAATCAATTAGAGGTGTGGTCATTTTGTGACGCACGATATCTATTTTGATCGTTCTTATGACAAGAAAATATTAAATTATTGTGTTTCTAAAAACTTGAGGAAAACAATTAAATTATTCAAATAATAGAGTATTGTGTTTTAAAAATTTAAAAATTATACAAATCAAAGATAAAGATTAATTCAAAGAAGAAAAGAGTAATATGGGCCATACTGCAATTTGATACGTAAACGAATTGTTATTTATTACAATTAATTTTGCATGCAGAAAATATCGACCTTTAACTTCAGATTTATTTAATTATGTATAAATTAAACAGAAATTAATAGTAAATTAAACATAAATATATCATAATAAAAAATAAAATTCGATAAACATATAAAAAAAATATCAAAGCACATATACGACTAAAAAAATTAAAAATGTAAATTGTCTGAAAGTCAGTAAATGAAAAAAAATCTCGTTACGTTATTTTAATCACAAAATATTGACTACCTTTCGGCAACGGTCAAGGCCTGAATTCGATCGAAATTCTCGCAAAGACAGCTGTCGCCGCAATGACCACACTCTCGATAGCAGAGTGTGCAGCTCGCTTAGCTTCCCATCCCTTCGCGATGAACAAACATGCACGATGTATTTCCGCCTATGCGACGTCACTCTTACTCTCCATCGTGAAATAACAACATTGCTTACTCAGCGCAATCACTATCTCTTTATTTATCCTGCGACATTTTCAATACAAATATGTTTTTCCAAAATATCAGAGTAATTATTATAAAAGAATATCTGATTTTATTCATTATAATTTTAATGTTTTCAAAATAAAACTAAGTTCTATAATGAAAAATAATAAAAAGAAACAAGAAATGTTTTACTATTAAACGTTATATTATTTTTATGTATTTAAAAAAATATAAATAATTATATGTATGCTATAATTTAAAAAATAGCATATGTATATGCTGCGCTGTGCATTTAAAGATCAATAATTATAGAAATAATTATATATTGCGCTTCAAAAATTAATTCTTAAAAATTAGTTGAACAAAGAGTAACGTTCGAGAAATAAATTATGCACTGTAAAACTACCGGAAAAAATGACGTGTAAAATGATAAATAACACGATCGGATAGACGCATCAATTCCTATTGAAATACAACACAACTCGTCTCTCGTTTCCAATAATACGAATTTGGCGTTGTGATGGCAATAATTTATTCCAAGCGATCTCCATGGCACGAGTCAGTTTTTGTCTCAGGGCCATAAAAGTTTTCCCCGCGTGCGCAGCTGAAATTCGAGAACCGCGTCATTTAACGGGAGCGTACACCCCAGGCCGGCCGTTGCCGAAAATTCATCTGAATTAGTATGCGCGCACGCGTGCATTAACATACCTTAGGGGAGAAGAGAAGTGACCATTACACGAATCCATTGAGGGAGTAGGATAGAGAAAAAGGAAGGTGCGGAAACATTGCTAGAGGGAGAAGGAGCGATTTCGGTTGGGGAAAAACGAATTTTTAGACGGCATTGTCAAGCTGGCGAAATGGGCCCGGACAAACGATAGGCCCCCCGCATCTGGTCCCCCACTCTGGCGAAAAGGTCAGAGAGGAAGAAAAAGGTCGTGACCTTGACAGGGATTTTCCGAAAAAGTCCGAAACGATCCGGAATGGATGGAAAAGGGCCAACCTTCCCCCTCTCTTTCTCGCTCCCATTTCACCCCGGCTCGCCTATTTTTCTTGCCTCCATGTGTGCGACACAGTGACATGCAAAACGCACGCGTTCATGCAAAACGACCACTTCCACCCCGCTCTTAATTGCGTCCCATGCAGATATGCGTATTGTGCATTTAATGGTCCGTGCGCAACGCGTTACGCACGGGGGGATGCAGATTTTAATTATTATCGCGAGGAAAAAAAGGCACACACGTGCACACACGGTATAGATTCTTTATCCACGCTGGGTGGGTAATAAATTCGGGTGACGCCTGGAAAGCCGTGGTCCTTCGCGCGTGTGACATGCATCCATTTACGGATAACGGCAATGCGAGCGATCACGACGGATACAAGATATTTCCTTTGATGATTTGATATAAAAGAGGCTTAAGTCTTCAAATGCACAAAATATCAAATCCAGATATCTACTGCAGATCGAGTTATCGAACGCTAACAAACCTGGCACGTAACAATTATCAAGAAAAAAATATCGTCTACTTCTATTATCTCCATGATAAGACTATTGAAAATTTTAATTTCAACTGTTTTCATGTGCTTTCATATTAAATTATCTCAAATCAAGATATAACTTTTGCCTGTTTTATCGAGCATCGAAGATTTATGCAAAATGATTATTTATTTTTTTTTTATGTAAAAGTAAATTTTAATTTTGATTGCATCGACATTGTGTGATTTAATTAAATTCTCTTTATTATCTGTATTATATTTATAATAATCCATAATTTTGTTAAAAGTTCGACACACACTAATTATATTCGATTAACAATTTAATATGTCAACGCAATCGAAATTGAAAAATGTAAAGAAATTATAACAAAGTTCCGAGAGAAATCTTGACGGCTTGCATGCCCGAAATCAGCATTGCCTTTGTAACATAATTGAGCGCAAAATCAAAATTTTACCCGTAAACCAAACAAAAAGACACAAAGTATATATATTGTTTATTAATATATATATAAATATATATATATATATATATATATTATTGATTATATTATATAAGAGCATCCTAGACTAAGTACATATGTAAACAATACAAAGATTACGAGTATGTACTTGCGTGCAGCAATGTAATTCGAATAACATTGAGGACGTACGGATTCAACAACTATATGGTATATAGAATGTATATTTCGTGAAATTAGAGGAATTAATTAGCACGTCTAGTCATTTTGGAAGCGATTTACAATTCCTATATCTGAACTAGTCACACGATATAGTCAAGGCGAAATTTTGCATGGCGAATGTTTCAATTACAAGCGCAATGAACTTATCGTTATTCGTAATCGCATATTTTTATACAAAACGATGCAAAAAACATTATTTTTGTTACTTTATATTCTTTTATACATGTACTTATCTTTTGAAATTACTTTTATATTTAATTATTTATACGTATGATCAAAAGCATGAATAAAATTTATTTTTTTCTTTCATTTATTTATTGTCTATTTTTTGTTACCCATTTTGCATTGCAATTGATTTATATCTTTAACAAATTTACACATCTTATGTTTATAATTTCAGTGAGTTTTATTTTTTTATATAGGTGGAGGAAAATCTATTTTATTGATAAATGTACAGATCAATTTCGTGTGTCTATCGAAGCATCGAAATTCGAACTCACCGAAATTACACCATTTCAAATACTGGTTTTAAGATATCGAGTTACCCGATAGAGTTTGATGGGCGCCCGTTAGACTAGCCGCCAGCTCGTCGATTTTGTTTTTTAAGGGTGTCGCTCTTAGGGTGTTTTTTACCATTGATGACAAATAATATCTCAAACAAATTAAATTTGACAAATTGCACACGTGCACCCCTCGCGGTTTTTGGTATTTTAAAAACGGGGGTTTCCCTAAAGAATAAGAAAAATTAAATTCATTAAATATAATGCTTCTAAATTATTTTACATAAAAAAGGTGCGCAGAATAAAATAATAGTATTTTAACATTTATTGACTAACACAGTTATTTTTACTTTAAGAGTATTAAAAAATAAATTCTGATGAAAAATGCACACGCATTTTACAATAAATAAAAATATCTAATTTTTTAGAATCTGAATAGCGCATCATTATGGGTCATTTTCTCCGAGTAAAGAGAAAATGTGTAATGAGAGATTTTGACAATACTTCTCAAGACATTTTGTTATTTGTAACCAACGG